AGTATCCGTTGTATATCTTCGGACGTGTTACTACGATACGGAACTACAACAGTTGACAACCAGTCGCTTTTGGAAATAATTCACATGGCAGATGTCTTAAGCTGAGCTGCCAAATACCATCCAGAGTAGCGTCTAGCATATTTATTTTGCTAAATTTTCGCATCAGCTGAGCTGTAGTATATAGTGTTTTCACGGGTCGCATAACATGACGTAGAACGCTTATCTTTATCTTTATTCTTTATCTGAAAGTGGTAAACGTACGTACGGTGTTCTTGGGGCTGTTTTCACCCAAATGAGTCTACCAATCACCAGTGAGAATAAAAATGTTTTTTGACTTACTGAACTGTGTAGTTTTTCCTAGCTGTGATTGTGCTCCAGTAGGTAAAAGACTAATGTGATGCATCGGTGTGGAACGAGTACTCTAGTCGTACTGCGCAGAGGGGTAATCGATGGGAAACCAGGCGAGAACGACGACCGACCACGGTTCGGCTACTCAGTACAATTCTGACAGTAATCGCTGTGTTACCAGGCCAGCGGAACACGTAGTGACATTGTGATAAGAATGATAATTAAGGAAGATTGGTCACGATTCTTGGGTCCCACAAGGACTGGTATCCGGCAGACAATAGAGTTCAGTTGGAGGTGATGACAGTGAAAACATTTTGTTGACATAACGTGATAAAGGGTTATAATTAACTGATTTCTCGACACTTTATATACTATTCTCGTTTGTTAATCACATCCCAATCTCTCTTGTAATGGATTAAATTTAGAGAACCGAAAGTAGTTTATTCGTACTCAATAGCAGTTTGTATATGCAATATAGAGTTTTTAGGGAATGATCAACCATTAGGAAAAAAATAATGGTGCAGACCCAGTGTTTTTCTTTGAACCGCTTCATTTCTCCCGAAGAGCTTTCCTCAAAGTATATGTGATAATTGTTCAGTTTAACCAACCTTCTGAAGCTCAGGTTTATGACCATAGATTTTGACTTGATGATCAACAAAATGACCGATTTCATTTACTGAAAATATGACGTGTCATTCTCTGTTTCGTGTGCAATAATCGGGTTTTACTTATTGTTCGCATTTCGTGCCAGGTGAACAGTCTCCTTATGGTGGTAATAGTTCGTTGTATATTCTCGTTTTATTGATGAGAAACAAAGCAATACACTGGGATCAATTCACTATATCCTTTTCAGCCACCGCGTGCTATTTGGACGTGTAATTCTGCCTGCTCACCCTTTACTGGGAATCACGTGAGATCTCGGACTGGATCACCATCGGAGAGCATGATGTATCGAGGTTTTTCAAGTGCAATCGTCTGGAGCTAGTGCTTAAGAGAACAACATACGCAGAAGTTATCTGTGCATCACAACTGATGTGGCTCATTAGCATGTCCTGGTCTAACAGCCAACGTTAAAGTCTATTACTGGCAATAGGTAACGGTTTAAGGGAAAGAGCAACATGCAATAAAGTGAGTGATTAGTTTTCAGCACTATGCGCATGAAAAAATGCAAGCTTAAGTATAATAGCTGTTTTCTCCGTCTCCGCTCCTTTACCTGGAACGAACCCCAGTTCACGTTCCATTACGAGCCCGTTTGGCATTATCATATAGCAATCGTAGTACTCATGCTGTAGAGATGACGGGCTTACTTGGTTGCCTACTATTTCATATTTTATCACATACTTGTGTAATGGACAGTATACGGGTTTGACACAAAGTCACAAAAATCTGCTGTTCAACGATGGAGACCGGAAACTTAAGCCCAGTGGCGAAACGCGTAACACCCCGCTAGGTTAGGCGTGGTATTAAATTAGACGACAGCGAAACTGCCTACCACCAAATCTAAGCTAGGAAGCACTGGCTTTTGTTCGTAATCAATAGTTCTAGCACCAGTCCAGTTCTCTTTGCTACTTATGGGGATCAACAGTTCCTTCATAATTATTTAGCTCTTTACTGTTCAGGTTCATATGATATCTACGAATCGTTCCAAGTTCTAGTAAGCAGTAAATTTCTTTCTCCTAGATATGATTCCTACAATGATCTTTAGATCTCACCAAAGCCAATATTCGTTTTTTTGTCGCACGAATTTGGAATGTTTCCTTACCCCTCCTCTTTTTTGATGTTGTGACTGTGCTACCGCTCAGTATCTTCCTGATCGAATCGGCTAGTTGTTCTTACCTTCCAAGTTGTCCTGTACAGTTTCATCAATAAATGCTTTCCTTCTGAGCTCCAACTTGTTGAAAACACATGGCTACTCGCTATCATCTATTCAGCCTAACTCAGGGACATGAATAAAAAGGTACACTAGTATCTCTCATTCCATGTAACCATTCGCAGTCCATATAATCTCGATTCTGATTTCGTGCAAGTTCACATATGTTTGCGGATTTCCCTTCCCTTTCTTTTTCTTGGTACCTTCGCTTTTCCTGGTCGGAGTATCCCCACGTCTATTTGCTGGCACACGTTCACGGAGAAGTTGGTTGGCTTTGATTAGGGCTTGGACATGCACTGAGCAAACTTTGAAGCAGAGACAATGAATACCGTTAGCAGTGTATCGGCCAGCAGGGTATGCATGCTCGAGCAATATCTGTATATGAGTTTACATCCTCTTGCATAATCCAAAGTTCTTCCATTCTTCACCATGTCCCATGCGTGCCTACGGACTGAGAATCTAGGGGAGCGTCTGCTGTTTGTTACCCTTTGATGGTATTTTGGAACGGAGAATTCGTGAACGAGNAGGCCACACAACACGCTTTTATTTTTTTCTACATTCATCTTCGTAACACACACAAATAAGTTTACAGCTTCAATGAAATGAAAGCTCGCTGTTTGACCACAATTACCAGTCATGTTTTTCGATGAAGTTGGACAGATAATCAGTCACAGATCACAGAAAATCACAAAGCAAATGCAGGTTTATGGGTCATCCATTCTCTGGTTTACACATTTCTCGGAAATATATCTGGTCGTTGAACGGGAACAACGTTCGGTGGAATGCGTTTTAGGTAAGAGCAGACCTCGGGGGTTGTGAGGGCAGGTTGATCACGGTTCCCAATCGCATCATCTAAATCGGTGGACAATCTAAGTTCGATAGTATAAAAGTGTGGGGTACATTGTTGGCCCTATCGCGAGCGAGGAAAAGTACCGAGTCCGGGGTGAGGGTCGGAATGTTTTACACAACTCCAGTCATTTACTGGTCAGTTGGATATTGAATCCATGGACCGGATTTGGATCATACCAATGTTGCCAATATCTTTGTTTTCAGTACAAATAGTCTCATCACTTTTATTGACATTGTTGACAATAATCACTGTGCTATTGTGAATAGCGTCGTTCTTGGCACTGTTTTTGTCGTATACAAATGGAATATTTCCCTCGATGCGATCCTGTGCATTTGCGCTATCTGCACAACGGATGTGGTTATTGCGTTCCACATGGGATGAACACTTTTCACCATTTGGACCTGATACATCTTCGATCGGGGCAAGAATACTGATCACGGGAGTTTGAGGCAATTTTGCCGAGTCTTTTGACGGTGTGTGTGTTAAAGTGGTCGGATTTGAATGGGCCGTATCGATAGTGTTGATCCCGGTCAATGTGTGCGACGGACAAACTTCGCGACGTTGGTTGTTCACTGTGGGCGGTTCAATGACTAGTTTGGAACGGACTTCGGTGTATTGGTTTCTGGATCCGAGTGATCCGAGTGGGTTCGGCCAGCAACAGGACTCACACAGTGTCACTGTCCTAACCGGCTGATCATTGTTTGTTATGCAGGGTGTGCCAAGGATTCGTTTCAAACAGTCAATCAGTCGACCGAATTGTCTTCGCATAGCACTTTGTATCGGCTCATTCAACCAACCATACAAAACGGGATTGACACAAGTCGATCCCATGGCAAACATTTTGCACAATAGATCAATTAATTTGATGTGTCTACCAGGGATAATTTCCACCTCGTTTTTTGGTTCCCACAAAAGACTTGTCATGTGATCTAACAAGGATGCGCATGTGTCTGCATTTATTTGCATTCGACGCAATGATTGAAATAGTTGTGTTTTTTGTGGATTCCATACCTTGCGTAGTCTTACACCCGGAGCTAAATGGGATTGAATTTCCAAAAGCAACGAATATAAGCACCATGGTGTCCAACAGAGCACAAAACAGACCACTGTAGCCACCAGCAGACTGGTTGTACGACGTTTCCGACGTTCCGCTTCTTTGCGATACCGTAGCTGTGTTGCATGACGTGCCAGTTTGCAGTAGATGCACAAATAAAAGCCTCCTGAAGCGGTCAATGGTAAAACAAAATAGAGCATAAACACTGAGACCGAGTAGGCTAATCGCATTTGAGAACTGGGCCAATTCTCCACACAGTAGCTATAGTCAGTCAGATTCGTATTGGTCACGTACAGTGCGACCGGGACTGAATTGATCATCCCGAAAAGGACTACAAATCCGATCAAACCGATTGCCACTCGAGTGGACATCTGGATTTTCATCGGATGCACAATCATTCGGTATCGATCGAACGCGATCAACAGGATAGACAAACAGGATATGTTCAACGGTAGACCGAATCCGGCAAACAGAACACGACATAGTCCACTACTGGCCATCTGATGCTCATTGATCTCGTAGAACACTTGCAATGGCATACTGACCGAGCAGAGAAAAATGTCGGACACGGCCAAACAGAGCACAAACAGATTGGTGATATTGTTGTTTAGGGTCTGGTTTCGAAATTTGAGCAGAGCACAAATCAAAGCCAGATTGAATGCGGCTCCGGTCAGCGAGACTAATGTGCACGTGCTGATCATGAGGCGACGAAATATGGGGATGCGGTGGGAGGAGTGTTCGGCTTTGCCGTAATCCCCGGTCGGTGTATCGGTCTCGTTGTAGATGACTAGGACGCATCTGCACATGTGCCATTGCATTGTGGATTGAGTTTGGTGAAAACATGATTCCATTTTGGGGAACGAGGGTAGAAAAGGCATACAAATAGATGATGAAAATTAGACAGTGGGAATGATTGCAATACAGGGTTGAATTTCACACGGTATGCAACATCGCTAATAACATCACTGAAGTTCATTTTCATCAGTTCAACTTCCAGGGGATTTGTCATTCCTTTTCACGCCAAAATCATTTCACAATTAGGTCTGATTTTTTTATGGTGTAAAGCCGAAGTGTTGGGTGCACATAACCATATCTAAACTAGCTTAGGACTATTATTAATATTTTGATGCTGTTTTGCATTAATTTACGTTAAAATTGGCTCATCATATTCCGAATCATGACAGATTAGTCGTATTACGTTTTGCACATTTTGGGTGCCTTGTTTCAGAGTCGACATTCCCAGATTGTCTAAGGCGTTTGGGGAATTCTTTAAACTTGGCTGGCCTGTCCGTATCGGAAATGCATAGAATCAATGTTCGATTAAATAAAACCTATATTCAGGGTATGAACCCAAGGCGTGGGAACCTTCGTTACCTTTTTGTTTATAAGTATGTCAAGGGTTCATCTTCTTCACTTTGAATCACCACATCTTTGTTCTGAATTGTGTATCCGAATTCCAAATCGAATTGCGTAAAAGCACCTGTCATGGTACGTTTTTGCGGATGTAATTCACAAAGTGCACCATTCTTATTCTCTCTCTACGAATTGATCCAGTTTGGTGACACACATATCAATCACATGCTTGTATGTTTGACCAAACATGATTTTTAGACCCAGCCCACTATTTTATTGCCTCAACTTATGTACAAATCCTCCAAAATTATTCCCCTCGACCATAACTCAAATATTGTGACGCAGTCGATGATTTTCCGTCTGTTGTTGTTTTGGCAACGAGGACTGCTGTGTGAGATTTGAGTTCATCAACGTAGTTTCAATCTGCTTGTTTCAGGCACTGGTACAGTTTCGATTCGTGTTTTGCGTACGTGATCCAACCACCATTGTTGGATCACTACATATAAAAGATAACTAGCTTAAACTTATAATTGTATTGATCGAATAAAGATCCATGGATTTTTGTACTCCGTCTAAAGAAGGTGTATATATGTTCAGTTGTATTTGCGAACGATATTTATCTTGTATCTGATCTAATCCGGAAACCTCTAAAGCGGATGCCATTTCTCAACGTTTTCGACTAATTAGATTAAGTACATCCATTCAATGTTTTTCCATTCTCCGTTATCAGTTTCATCGATCTGTGTTTGAAGCCATTCTTTCACCATGATCACCAATTAGTTAATTGGCTGCTTCACCGTGTCGTTCCTCAACACTGTGACAAATTTTAATAAGAGTCGATCATAATCGAAAAGTGTGGAACACTTTGATCGGTGGGGGGGGGGGGGGNTTTCGTACATGAAGCGTTTGGCTGTGAAAAGTAGCTACCTCATTCGAGGATTCATGTACAATGGCCAGAAAGTAAAACTTAAAGTTGAAAAACTACATCAGATGAGAGCAATTTCCAAGGTATGCAACATATTTGTAGGAATTTGTAATCTTCTGGAAATGTTTTGTTTATCAATTATGCCTAGGACTTAAGGTAACCCAATGGATAAACAGTTCTTGCTGTTTTACACCTTTTTGTGGAATGAACAACAGACGAGATGAACCCCTGAGTTACGATGAATTATTGTTCACTCACGGAAACTCCAGCCGCGGGTTTTGGAGTTGTGAAACACATCAAGTGCGATGGGTGTGATATCAAGCCGGTTGACAGTGAGGTTGTCTATCATCAAAGTAGCGTGGTGGTGGCGGGGTTCGAACCGTGATGACTTTATCTGCTTATAACTTACCACCAAGCCAAGCCTCCTACTGATTAGTGATAAAGTTTCGTCTGGTCCGCGAATGAATTCACGCAGAAGTAGCCCTTTGTCATGAGTTTTGCCTGGTTGGTGTTGTTTGTTCTTGAGGGCTATGTGCTCAACGAAAATCGTTCAATGTGGTTTATTTTTGAAGCTGTTTCATAAGACTAGCAACCATTCCACCTACCACAGGTACAGTTCATTTTTGCTTTACCCAAGGAGTACTGGGTCACTCTGCTGTGATAAAATATAACACCGTCTTCTTTTCCCATGGATCAGTCTGTTTGGAACTGTCCGTTTCATTTATTTTGCATTATCTGGCTCATTGTTGTCTGCGTCGCGTTTCAGTCAGTATCAGACGCGAATCACGTGACTGTCGTTTTGCCGCCCAAGTTTGGCTGGCTTTTGTTTGCGGACCTTGTTTCTTGCTACGATCGCAATGGAGACCACGTTTTTTGACTAACCATCACTCATTGTTTTTAATTACTTGTAGTTCTCTCATGGAACTAGCGTCGGGTCGTGAATTTCTGTTCTCCAGTTAGGCTATTGGTCACAGCGTCACGTGCATTCGCTATTCAGTTTCGTCCCTCTATTCTACACGCAAACGCACATCTACACACACACGCAGGTATTTGTCACGCTTCTTTCCCGTGCGTGAATTTGTCTTGAGAAGCTCACCTGATATTGCAACAAAGTCAATGTCGATCAGTTTGATTCGACTTTTTTACGGTACTTGTCTGCCACACCTCTCATTCGCTTACTCCCACATCTACCTGCCCCTCCATCCTTTTGTCTACACTATCAATCATAATACATTTGTAAAGTCATAGAGCGTCATGCAACGTGATTCCTCTTTCGTTCCATTTCAGAGTCTGGAACAGGAATTCCCAGCAAGTATTATATCTGTCACATTTTACCCATCACCACCAGGCAGACTTATCTCGCCCAGTAGTGGATAAGGTCTTATTTCTCCGCCCCTGTGCGAGATTTTTATTTCCATAGGCTGAAAATGGACTGAAAGTTTTGGATATTGGTGACGAGGAGGATGGTAGAATTAGACATTATGGATCACAATCCGATCGGACAAGAGGTTATTTTTTCAGCCTGGGTCTTGAGCAATAATGGTTTGTTCAATAAATGGAAAATCAGTAAAATATTAAACAAACTCCAGTGATAACGAATCCGCGCATACGGCGTTTACAATTAGAACGCAAGAGTTTTTTAAATCACGTGTTATTATTTCTCAGGTTTCAAGAAATTTCTCACCTACTTGATCTGTGAAAAGTTTATGCACCTAAGTGAGACTCGAACTAACGCACGGATGTCACTTACACCTTTTTGTCTTTCTCTTTACAAACTATAATATAAAGCCACACATACTACCCTATAATTCCGAGTTTGGATACAAATCAACTGAATATGGCGTAGGACAAACCAAGTAAGGTGAATACAACGACGACCTATTTGGAATCACCTACTGGGCGTAGAAAATTTTTCAAGTTTTCTGGTTTTGCAAATTTAAGGAATTTTATGTGAGATTCAATCGTGCAGTGATCAGAATAGTCGGTGTGACCTCGTCGCCTCGCCGACAGAAGGTGAGCTGTATAGAGGTGTGTCGTCGATGCACTGAATTGAATTCAACCCGAGACTCTTGATCGTTTCACCATTGGATTATACGAGAAGTAAGCATGACTGCTATTAACACAGATATGTTCGGGCAACATTGGAGGATACACCAATTTTCTGTTTTCTCCTTACAATATAATGTCCTTATTGATCCATTCCTTTGGAAAGCGGTTAACAATTGTTTTCAATTAAGGTAACAATTGTAGTCATCAGTAATTTGTAAATGAAAAAGTAATATGTTTGGAGCTTGTGCGAATTAAGCGATCACAGGAGGGAATGCAATGCAATACCCGACAGATCCTGAAAGATATGATTTCATATAGAATAAACAGAGTAGCTTAGAAACGTCCACAACAAGCTATCTGTTCTTTTGTCTTTTACTTCAATTGTTCCTTCGTCGAATTCGGAATCTTTATTATTTTCACGTGTTTCTTCCTCTTGATGGTTCCCCACATCTCTACCAAATTCACTCTGGTTGGCGATGTTTTAAGTTGGTTCATTCACCGCTGCTCTCACTGACGAGAACATGTGGACGTGTCCTAGTATGACGAGGGTGGTAATTGGTTTATCCCTAGTACTGAATGTGTAATTACTTTTCTATACTCGCTTATAAATTGTAACGCTGGTTCTAACGCCAAGTGGTTCGTTTCATATATGAAATCTGTCAAGCAGTGTTTTCTGCTCGGTAACGTCTGGCCAACGGTCTTCAGGCAGGTAAATTTGTGACTCTGACAACCTATGTTTAACAGCAATACTAAGGTTTTAAAACCCATGTGACTGGATTGGTTGCTTAGATTTAACGTGATTGTCATTTTTGATTCTTGTTATTTCTCTGACTATATGATGGACTTCGGCGTAATAGGAGTTAACGAAACTTCAGTAAGCAGCCCCGTAAATAGCTTCTCGGGCTTTGGTGGGTTTCACTTATGACGTAAATCTATCTGCTAAGTAGGACTCGAATTTGAAACCTGGCAGTTGGATCACAAGGATTCTTGTAATTATCAAATGTTTGCTATTTCCGAAGTTCGCTTACTGTTGAGTGATCTCAATCAACGTGCAAACTTTCCTCTATTTCAGGTAAGAATCCTAACTACTGGTTTCGGTAGTTTTATTCATGTGTTCAGAAAAAATAACTGACACTAATTCTCTTCATCGTCTGTATCATTTTGAATATTATTTTCCGGGGTTTGTTCCGTGGCCTGATGTTTGGTCGGCTTTCAGCAAAGAAACTGCATAGTGATCTTTAATTTAAATATCCGCGGGGGTGCGGGTGGTTTGGGAGTTACCATCTTGCTTNAATAGTACTGTCCCGCTTTTGTGCATCCTGTATAGCTTATATATATATTACAGTTTTTGATTGCTTTCACGAACCTTGTCTTTATGCACAACAAAAATAAACTTATGTACCGCTGGTTAGGGTTCTCATCTTCCGTGAAATCCGGAAATTCAGTTAACTTCAAATATCATCCACGGCGCCAATTCAGGAATCAATTTAG